ATACTTATGGACATGAGATACTGAACCGCCACTGGTAAAGGTGAAGAGCAATACCTGCTTCCACATGGAAACAAGAGAAAAAACGTATCTTGATTTTGCCTAACGTAAAACTGTAAGTAGTCAAACTTTTGCTATAAGCATTATATTAAAGATAGCAACAGCAAGGTTTTACGTTTTTCACTGTTTGAAGCTAGGCAGTTTAGAGGGAATCACCAAAAGCATACCTGCTGGATGGTGGCTAGAAAGGGGGACCTAGGGAGAGAGGAGGACTTGGTAACCTTTTAAAATGTAGTTTACAGTTACATACATGCATAGAATAATAGTCAATCTTTTCATTATCAGAATAGCAGTAATAGGAAAAGAGGGGAATTTGCATCCTCAACACAATTTACTCACACAGTGTAAGACAGTCACCTTTAATACAGTAAATATATACCTTGTGCAACTGCTACATCATATATTTCACTTTCATAAAAAGATTCATGAATAGAACTGGTTTAAAACTATACTTTTGCTGTTACTGCCAACAGAAAAGTACAATGAGGCACCATATAAATTTCAATTATTAAGATGGATAAAAAAGAAATTCACAACAGGCAACAAAAACCAACTTGTTTTCTACAAACTAGAACTAGGCTTAACAGAGGAAATATAGGGGGAATACCTACTAGCTAGCTGACAACTACTCAGTTATCAATGAGCTGAATAAGTCAGCTAAAATGAGGAAAAGTAGACTTGATCTTGCATGAACTATCATTTATCTAAGTATTCTGAGTTTTATAGCGCCGTATTTCGCATGCTCCAGGACATTCCTGGTTCAATCCTTTCTGCCAAAAAAATAAAGCTCTTTTGGTTGTCTATTTCAAAGATTCAAAAACCAAGTACAACATTCCATTAAGCTGACAAATCTCAGTATATACTATCGATACCCAAAGCACTCCCTCCAAATAACAAGTCTATTTAATACTTTTATTTTGGCATTAACAAAAAAAAAAAAAAGAACACATTTCAGCATGTGCCATACATTACATACTGCTGAGTCAGACAACATTTAAAGTACTAGGTTCAATCCTGCCAAGCCACTGGCCTTGGCCAAGAGCCAAGCCCAAACAATGAGGTAAGACAAAGGGACAACTGACCTTTACCATTTCTAGCAAAGGATCACTTCCACCCCCCCTTCCTTCTAGTAAAATGTCTGCCTCCAAAAAAGAATCCCAGCTAAACAGGCATAAAGAAAAGGTAACTTTTCCTAGAAGAAAGGCTTTAAAGGCTTTTCAGTACAACTGATCAGAAAAAACTTCCCCCCTCCCTTTTTTTTTTTTTTTAAATATTCTCTCTCTCTTGTCCTTTCTTAAACTTCCTTAATGATCCTTATCCCCCTCAAGCTTAAATACTAGGAATGATTTCAAATGTAATACTAGAAGCTGTAACGCTGCCAACGGGGCCCAGTTTTTGTAAATTCTGGCTGTAGGCTAAGCAATTAAAAAAAAAAAAATCTGTGTTGCTGTGTTGTTTCTTATTATCTTTCATTCCACCACCATAAGCCACATCTCCAGGAAGTCAGAGGAATAAAAAACTTGAGCAATGGATTTAATGTATATACCACTCAAGAGTTTTATAAAGTGTATATTGCTAAAATTATTTCCTTGAAGTTTAACAAATTTCACTGGCATCCGTGGAATAAATCACAAATAATATCAGATTAGGGATAGATACCATCAAAACCTCAAATTCTTCAGTGAAACATTTACCAAATACTTTCAGTTTGTTTTATTCCTCCTCCAGATACTGCCCCATTTCTTCTACTAAAAAAAAAAAAAAAAAAAAGTCTAATGCAGATTTTTCTGTTGTCCTACTTTTTTTCTCTTATTCTTTTTCTTAATTTGGTTCATTCGGATTGATCAACAGTTTACTTATCCAGATCAGAGATCTCACCAAAGTAACTCCAGAATAAAGCTGTCCTAAATTTTTGAAAGTTTTCCTGCAACTCGAGCAGATTTTGAATATTACCTTTTAAAATACTGAGCTGCACAGCTCTAAGGTTTTTTTGCACGTTAGCACAAGCATTAACTAGCTGCATTAACTCTGGAATACTTTCTACTGTTCATAGGCAAACTGGGTATTTTTCTCAGCCCTGATTATCGCTGATCTCATTAAAGACAGCACGCTGCATTTCCATCAGATATAAAAACACTCAAAGATTACATGTCATCAATTCAAGACTGTGTCTGTACAGAGATACTATATTTTTTTCATGAAATCAGTAAGATTAAATACTATCTCAACACTAGAACAGAACTGTGGCTTTTCTTCACATATGTTTAATGTATAATTAACACATTATGAGCAGTAAAATAAGATGACCAAAACCAGGAAATATTTCCTACAGGAAATGCAATTTTAGTAATTCTCAAGATCCCAGCCTTCACCTCACAGAATCAGTATCCTTACAGATGGATGATCACGGGAGCCTGGCCAGTTAGCTGTTCTTTTGTTTCTGAAACAAACAGAGGGAATGCTAGTTTTGTTAGGTCTTCTGTAAGACAAATCCACAACACATCAAGTTAAACTAACTGAGTTTAGACCAAATGTTTCTGACAAGGTTTAGGAAGAAGGAAGATTCCTGTTTTAAACACCAGGAGCCCAGGATTCATCAGCCTCTCCAAGATAGTTAAGAAAGAAGATAGAGTTGCCTCTATTTTACACAAAACATCCAAAGCAAAAACAAACAACATTGGCTTTAGAATCGCAATTGTGGTTTTAGTATTTAAAAAAAAATGGTCGGTAAGCAAAAACAGCTTCTATGAACGTTTTTTTAAGCAAAACTACGCTAGGAGTTCCCCCCAAAATTCTTTCCGCATTTTTTGAAGTAAGCAAGGAACCCATTATCTCAAATAAGGCAAAATAAAGCATTAATATGTAAGACAATCTTGTAGAAAGCAAGAACGTCAGCACTTACTGAACAGAATTACTAACACTGTTCAGTGGTTGAGGCAGACTTTTGCCTACAATGCTTCAGATGCTCCTTCTACAGCAGCACCTCTGCTGTGGCTTTCTGCTAACTCTTCACAACATGCCTGCATATCAATATCTCGTCAGTCCCAATAAAACCATTCTGAGCACACTGTTCAATGTTGTTTGCAAAAACTACGATAACATCTAGCACTGCTGTCCTTTTTACTTCAGGATCAGATGTATTTGGTGCGCATTAGCAGCTTTAGCAGGTTCTTATCACACCATCATCAACAAACCTAGTACGTAAAAAATGGTATTTGTGAAATTCACCAAAAGCCTGACAAACATTTTATTGGAAACCATTCAGATAGGAATGTATTTGGTTCCAACAGAATAATTCTGTAAAATGAAAAAACAAACCACAAAATTCACAGAAATATTATCCAAATAGACGTTTCCATTATCTATATGGAATCTGCTTAAACACTGAAATTTATCTCCCAAGTTCAGAAACAGATTTTCTTGCTTTGATAAAGATTTTTCAAGCGACTGCCATTAAAAGTATATTGAGACCAAAAAAAGCTGACAACACCACAAACCCCGCAAAAAGCCAAACACACTCTAAAAACATCATGAACTGGTTATGCAAAAGTTTAGCACAAAGGACTCCTACTTTGTCAAAATAAATAATAAGATAAGGCACATTCAATATTCATATAGCGAAATGGAATTTCATTGCAATTCTTCATTTTCCTTTCTGGATTCTTTATATTACAGATTGCTATAAACCCTTCACCAAAGAAAACTGCATCTTTATTACAAAAAATCAAGAACTACTACAGAAATCTAGGAATGAAACCGATTTGCAAGTTTTCTTCCCGAAGCTAACGAGTAGTCCTTGTACAGCTCATTTCAAACGTGGGAAAACCTAGCTAATAACGTGTAACGACAGCAATCAGACTGACAGCTAACAATTGGGAACTGACTGTCACTTGGGCAATAAAAACTTGGGCAATAAAAACAAAGTTAAGACAGGTATTTCAATAGAATTTTACACTGGTTTTACACATACTGATTTTTAGAGACATTTTCTCACTACTGCTCCACAGAAACAAATCAAAAACTCTTGCTCAATTGAGACCAAACACAGCGCTTGTGCAAGGACACGTTAAATAACAGCTAAGAAAAATACACAAATAGGCATCCGGACCGAAATCAGAATCTGTCCTCTGACTGCGAGACAAGACATATGCGTGTACCCATTGAGAAAACTGCCACTATTCTCTTTACTGGAGAGGAAAAGTATTTTACTTAACCATTGAAAATATACGTGAACAAATTTTAGAAAATGCTACTAGACGGTAACTTAATATTAATTGATACTATTAATAATATAATAATTACCTCTGCCTAACGTACCTTCCTCTCAGAAAACCACCTATAAAAAAGCCCTCCTCCAGCTCTATTCAAGGTACAGTTAAACCTTACTGCAAAAATTCTCTTTAAGCGTAGTTCTTAAACAAACTGTTGAGTATTTCCTACTTGGAATCTTGCTGTTCATGTAGGGTAAATGCAATTCCAAGCAAAGCTAAAATTCTAGTTCAGCTTAAATGTAACTCCAGAAATTCACCCAGCAACCAAGTTATTTTTGTGCTTAACATTCAAGTAACACTAGAAAAAAAAAAATCCACCATGATAGATCCTCTAATTCTTGAGAATAAAGTAGCTTTTGTATATGCTTAAACACTTTTCTCTATACTGCCTCGTGTACACATCCTTCTACCATAGAGTCAGTTTTTCCTTTTAGGTCATATCTTACAATTTTTGTTTTTAAAAGGATGCCAGCTCCCCTCCTCTTTTCTTTCCAGTACCTATAATTGAACACCTGGTTAAATTTACTATTGTACTATATAGTAACTACACATCAATGATGGAAGAAAAACCACAAAAAAAAAAAGCCCCCGTTTGGGGGGGGGGGGGGGGAAGCCAGCATGCATGCTGAATATACTTGCAGTATTTTAATAAAAGCAACAAAAACTAATTACCTTGAATAGCCATTAGAGAAAGCAGGTCTGCCAGAAAGGTTGAGCGTTCCCAAAGGAGCTAGAGTCTCATCTCCTGATCCCTGGCACCTATTCCAATTTTCTGAACCGGCAGGAAGAGATGGAATGATATTAAAAATTGGTTTCTGATCCTGCTGCTGAGAGAGCGATGCAGTATTTAGATCATAGTGATACATCTGTCCCCCAGAGGTACTGACACCATGGATAGATATGGCAGAGACTTTAGTACCCAGTAGATTAGACCCAGAGAAATTTGCCTGACAATAAATTGGGCCCATGTTTTCTTGCTTTATGCCAGGAGTACACAGTTCAATGAAGTCTTCCTTTTCCGTCTTCACTTGAGGCATTGGCATTTTGGGACTGGGTAAAAGGTCACCACGGTCATTAATTTTAGGTTTAGTGTCAGGTAAAATAGGAGGCTTGCAGTCTTCACCCAGATTTCCCTCCAGGAGGAACGCTTCATCTGCGGATATGGGGGACAGCAAACCGCCATCATCCAGCAGTGGGTCAAGCCTCCATGGGCTCCCATTTGGCTCTTTGCCAGGTGAAACTGGTGGCAATTCTAAGTCCTGGAGAATATCCAGGGTGCTTTGGTCTTCGGAGAATAATTTCAAGTTGCCACCATTAGAGCCAACTTGGCTTTGGACTGAAGTTCCTGACTCTAAAGGTACACTGCGGCTAGCCATGACCGAAAAATCCTGCTCCAGTGGCACCTCGGAAGATATTGCTCCCTTTGCGTCCTCTGCCAAGCTAGAGGACTTGTTCAAGCTTGCAATACTTTCTTCCAGGAGCCTGAAGTCCGTTTCTCCAGAAGAGATGCCAGTTTGGCCCTGCTGCGAAAATCCAAGGTCATTTCCCATCACTTTTGCATCTGTTTCACCCATGTACAGTCCCATTGACAGCGATACTGCCTTGGAAAGATCTGGCTGAGGCACATTGTTTACTAATCCTTTTGAAAAGTCAGCCAAAGCAGATTGCTGATTGGAATCTGACTGAGAAGACACAGGGAGAGGAGACGTAGGTCCAGGGGCTTGTACAGTAGCTCCACCCCTGAAGGGTGGATGAAAGTCCATCACAATCCCTCCTTTGGTACTGATGAGCGCATTTTTCCTTGCTTCGTCTTGATCTGAGGAGTTAAGCAATTCTTTGGAATCCATTACTTTAACATCAGCTATAAAAAGATCAGAAGCATTTAAAGTTAGCGCAGTAAGGATATTTTCATAACAGCACAAAAAGAGTCTAAATCATTAATCCGGTGAACCTGGTTTAGCTACTTTGAGAAAGAAGGCACAGCAAACAAAGTTATGAACTGACGTACGCTATGTCCCTCTCAAAGCTAGGCATTTTTTTCTTTTTTAATTCCCACCGGTAACAAAAAAATGTTTTTTAAAATCTTTGCTAAACCTGGATTAAGCAGCAAGTCAGTTTGCATACTACATCTCAGAATCAGACTATAACACAAGACATCTGTCTCAATACACTCTCCCAGCTCCATCCTGTATCTTAGCAAGTAAGAAATTGTTATAGTAACCAATTTACAAATTTGAAAAGGGTAATTTTATGTTGTCTTTAAATAAATCTTGAGCAGGGAAAGGGGGAAGAAAAACTGACATTTTACAAGCCGGTTTGCTCTCTCTCTCTGGGAGGTTCAGATGCATCGCTCAGGATAGAGAGCTGCAAAATTTCCCAAGCTAACTCTCAAATTTAGTATCTACCAACCAGACAAAAATCTAAATGTTGTGCTACTGTCCGTTCCACCACGGAACACAGCAAATAACAAAATTTGCTATCTTTGCGTAAGTTAAGCTTACAATGCAACTCGTGAATCTTGAAATAAGCTCAATACGATTCTTAAAAAAAGTGTTTTATAAATAAAACTAACTAAAGTAGAACTTTTATTAGCTTCAAGCCCTTTAAAAAGCTGATGCTTATTCTCCGAAAACTTTAATACTGAAAATAAATACTGTAAGTTTCATCTGTTTGTATTTACTATAATTATTTTCAGCACAGAGTACGAGTCTTTGGAGAACAACTGTAAGTCCTTACGCAGACTTTACATACCGTTTGGTTACGGCCTAAAACACTAACTGTAAACAGCTAACGCGAGCAGCTGGCACGACGTCCAAACCCGTAAAAGCGGCAGCGTTAAAAATCAAACCTAACAGAGGCACCTAGCAAAATCAAACCTAACACCTAGAAAAATCAAACCTAACAGCGGCACCTAGCCAGCAGGATGACAGGAGAGCGTCCCAAGCGAGTTCGCGCTGGTCTTGTTCACGCCTGTCCTGGCGGGGCGGCCGGGCGCTGGGAGCACCCGCTGCGACCAGCACCTCTGGCCTGGGTAAAACTTCCCCGGCGGAAGGACTCGAAGACCTTTCTTAATACTGAAGGATTATTTCACATAACCTTTAAGCAGGGCTAAACGGAGACTCTCTTGCCCCGGTTTCCGAGATGGC